CTGTTCAGATCGCCTCTCAGAAGGACGATCTGAGCACGGACATCCTTCAAACTACTGTTTGCCAACAGGGTCTGGGCATTTGCCGTTTCCAAGCCTGCCTTTAACATCTGAATGTTAGTGCTGGCGTTTTCTAAACCTCTGCTTAGCGTGTGGAGCTCAAGGCTGGTGCTTTCAGAACTGTTTTTTAAGAAACTCTGAATCTGGGCGTTCAGAGCATTTGCCTTTTCCAAATCTCCTTTGAGCCTCTGGATCTCAGCACTGGCCCCATCCAAAGAGCTCCTTAGCTTCTGGGTCTGGACACTCAAAGTATTGGCATCAGTTAGCTCTCCCTTTACCATCTGGATGTCGGCATTGGCGTGTTCCAGGTGGCCGCTGAGCATCTGGATCTGAGAGCTGACATTGTCCACACTGCACTTCAACATCTGGATCTCCACACTCCAGGTGCTGGTGTTTTCCACCTGAACTTTCAACATTTGGAGAGCCTCTTGCACTTCTGCCACCCTAGAAGGGTGGAGACCTGGATGGGGGGAAATGGACACATCCATCAAAGAGCGCCATTATGTAGAGAAGTGTTGCATCGTCCAATCAGAACAGTCTCAAGACTTCCCCCAAAATATGTCATCTCCAGAGCCCTGAGTGTGCTTGGCCAGTGGCCTGTGGGTCATGTCAGCCTCCCTGATCCTGGGGGTGGACCACCTGAAACTATGAGTCAAAAAGAAAAAGATCTGCTTAACACATGTGAACTAACTAGCAGGATCAAAGGTTTAAACTATTTGCCTACCATAGACTAACCACCCAGAGTCACGCTGGTAAACACTGAAGTATTTCTCCGCTGTAATTGAGCTTGGAAGTAACTTACACAATTTAGAACTGCGGGAGTTTAATTCCACTCAAATTTCACCATTAAGTGGGTCTTTATGAAAACGGAAATGACATCTGAGTAATTCTCCTGTTTTCGACCTGTCCTATATTTGCTTGACAACCATGAGCCCTCTTGATTAATCACTGTTACTTCCTAACACGATGCAGAACACACACCTGTAGATTTTTCTGATCCCAGGTTCCATGAAAAACAACTGAAATAAAATGAATGCCCCTGGCAGAATCACCCTGGTCAATCAACCCACATGGCTAAGATGAAGACCCACCACATCCTCCAGGAGAAACTGAGCCACTGAGCCGAGATCACACACACCCTCGGGTATGTTCCAAAGGACAGGGAGCCCTACAGAATGTCTGCAGATATGGGAGGCCTGAAGGCAAGGCCTTGATCACTGGCATCATCCATAATAAGTACAGCTCCTTCCGTTTGCATGGGCTCGCCTACCACCCACACCTGCAGCGCCCCTGATCCTGCTCTATCACCTTTAGCTCAGTTCATGAGCTAGTACTCGTCTCAGACATTTGTGGTCGCCTCCTGATTCCTGCCTCCCTTCAGGAATGGAGACAAGAACCCAAGTGAATAAGGCCCCTTTGTGGGGGACCGCCTTCCTTATTCCTTACCCCCTGGCTGGGTTAGTATGTCAGGACTCAGTCACTGTGTTAGTGTCAAGCCAGGTGGCAAGATCACCCAGTAGACCTATGGAATGGAATGGAAATCTATTTCTGATGGCCAGAAACAGATCTGTACACATCTAGACAATTGACGTGCAATAAAATTTCAAAGGAAAGTCAATGAAGAAAGGCTCATCTTTGCAACAATTGGATATCCATGGGCCAAGGGGAAAAAACGCTCAGGACAGACATTGTACCATTATATAAAAAGTAACTGAAAACAAAACACAGACCTAAATGTAAAACTGAAAACTATGAAATTTCAAAAAGCAAACGTCCGTGCAAACCTGGCCTGGGCGCAATCCATAAAAGCAAAGAGCTTGGTAAGTTGGACTTTATCCACACCAAAATCTTGTCGAGAGACTAGAAGGACAAGTCACAGGCAAAGTGAAACATTTGCGAATCACGCATCTGACAAACTTGTGTCCAGAATACATTAAGGATTCTCAACATTTACTCATAAAATCAAATCTTTAAAAACAGCCTGATGAAATATGAGCAAGAGACCAACGATCGTATTGGAACATTGCTTCACCAAAAAGTATTGACAGGTGACAGACAAAGAAGCTCATGAAAAACAATACTCAACATCCTTGGGTAAATGCTAATTAATATCCAAGGAGATACTGCCATGCACCCACTGGAATGCCTAAGCATGTTTTTGATGACCTTGCCAAGTGTTGGTAAAGCAGTGGAGGTACTGGAACACAGTCAGAGCAGTGCACATGGTACCATCCCTCTGGAAGTTGTGCATCAATGGCGGAATGGATAAACCAATTGTGATTTCTCCATTCAATGGAATACAAGACAAAACCATTGCTAGTGAGTGGGATCCAACTCATAGCGACCCTGTAGGACAGAGTAGAACTGTCCCATCGGGTTTCCAAGGCTGTCTTTATGGAAGCAGCTGCCACACCTTTCTTCCACAGAGCGCCTGGTGGGTTTCAACTTCTGGGTTTTCAGGTGGCAGCCAAGTGCTTCACCCCTGTACCACTCGGGCTTTTCACATAAGGAAACGTCTACTTTTATTGATACACACAACAATGGGGATAAATCCTGAGCTAGTTTGCAGGCTGAAAGAGGTCACACACAAAACGAACTCCTCCTGTGTCTGTCCTTTCCGTAGAAGCCTTTAGAAAGTCCGAAGAAATCTACAGTGACAGGAAGTAGGTCAGTGGTTGTTTGTAGGTGAAGAGAGGAAAGGAGGGGAGCTTTCAGAGTCACAACAAAGAATTCATTATGACTTAATTAATGATGAATAATTAATGATGACTAGGTTCATTATCATGGTTGTGGTGATGGTGTCACCGTGTCAATGCTTGGCACGTGGTACGCCTTTCAGTACACACATTGTATTATGTATCAGTTACTCACTAAAGCTGCTGGAGTTACCCAGGTGGCTTAGTGGGTTCTGAGTTGGACTGCTAACATCAAGATCACTGGTTCAAACCCACCAGCTGCGCCACAAGAGAAAGAAAGATGTCGCCGTGAAGGTTTACAGTCTTGGAAACCCTCCAGTCACTCTGGGTCAGAAGCAACCCAATAGCAGTGGATTGTGACTTAGAGTTGTGTTTTTTTGAAAAAAGAAAAAAAAGATTCTGTGAGATAAGTGGAAGCCATTCAAGGGTCTGAGGATGACGGGAGAGGATGGGCCTGGGGCTTGAGCATCCTAGTGCCCCCACTCCCTCCCGGCCCCCACCCTCCGTGGCTACTCACTCTCTGGGTCCCCAGAGCTGGTGGTGTTGTCTCCCCCAGCTGCAGCTTGAAAGAGTTGGAGTGAAGGATCTTCAGTTCCTGAGCGCTGTAGAACTGAAACGCCCCACCCCCGTCAGCACAAAGGTTCACTCTTAAGCCTGGGGGGACCAGCTGCCCCACCCCACATTGGGAGTTAGCATCAAGACCTCCTTCAGAGTCTTGCCCTCAGGGGGCTTTGCTTCCGGAGAGGATTCCCTGTGAATAGGGACCTTTGTTTGGGCCCAGAAAAAGTCTGGGCTGGAGGTAGAGTAACCTTCTGGGCTTCTCCGGGTGATGGCTTTGGGGCATGGGGGCAGAACGAGGATGGTGTGGGTCATGTAGGAGCTTACCGACCACAAAGAGAGCCACGAGGAAGAAGGCCAAGGTCACAGCCACAAAGGCCAGCATGGCCTGGGCAAGCCTCGGCACCTTGGGGGCTGCAGGAGCCACTGCCGCCGACTCCATGCCTGCAGGGGACAAGCGCGGGCTGTATCACCAGGGACACCTGCCAGGCTGATCATACAAGGCGGTAGGGAGAAAGGACAGGGAGGCCCCTGGCAATGCTCATGAGGATTACCCAAGCCAGCGGGGCAGTCGAGCTGACAGCTCTCAGAAAGTGGAGACGGCTCCGTGGTGCACAGGGCACAGAACTGGGCACAGGGCAGGAGGACGTTTGGTTTGAAGGGAGAGAGGGAGAAAGGAGGGGCAGGAACCTGGCCCTGGAATCTGGAACCAGGCTCACTCATGGAACCTGACCTGAGCAAGGCTCATCACCTTTGGGGGTTGCTGCTTCCCCATGAACTGATGTGGGGTCCCTGGAATGTATAAAGGTGTTTGGGGTTGTGTTTTCTCTCCACAGACCAGTCCTAAGAGTTTCCTTTGTCAGGGTCAGAATGTGCCCCCCCGCCCCCGCCCGGCTGCCTCAGCAAAATTGTGCCTGAGGATTCTGGGACTGAGTACAGGTGGCGGGATCTTGGCCCACAGGCCTCTTGGGCCAACCCAGTGTAAAGGGCTGGAATCTAAAGCCAAGTCTATGTGGATTCCAAGTACATCCTTTTTCTCCTGGCCGGTTTCCATCCCTAACCTACGGGCAAGGGAGGCGTCTGGAGAGATTCCCTCCAGGAGCTGAGGGTCCCCGTCCTCCACCCACCCACCATGGCCTTCGTCTGTTTTCCAGAAGGCCAGGAGCACCATGGACAGGGCAGCAGAGGACGGGCCACCAGCAGTCCGGACCCACGTTTTCTCACCTCTGGGATGCAGGGAGACACATTGGCTGTCTGTGCAGAAAGAGGCGTGGGTACCATTCGCCACTGCTTCCTTCATCCTTCAGTACTGCTCCGTGCTGCCTGCCACCCTCCAACGGCCGGGCCCTGGGCCAGCAGCACTGAGAAGCAAACCGGAGACGCCCAGACTTATATGCTCCTATGCAGGTCCTGACTGCCCTGGAAGCTCGAACTCTCGCACTGCTGACTCTGTGGAAACCAGCCCCAGGGGCCCCGCCTCTCAAGGGCTCCGAGGCGCCTGTCTGCCCAGCTCCCGCTGTCCTCTTCCCCTTCCGCCCTGGCCCCTCCTCAGCCCCATCCGCCCAGTCTCTACCACATCCAGCCTTGTACCCAGACATCAGCTTTTGCCCTCTGCACCCTTCTAGGCTGCACACTGGACTGCTAACAGCAAAGTCATCAACAGTTCAAAACCCCCAGAGGAGAAGGATGTGTTTTCTCCTCCTATACAGAATTACAGTCTCAAGAGGCCATGGGAACGGATCTGCGCTGTCCTCCAGGGTCACTGAGAGTTGGGACCACTGGGCGGCGAGTTTGGGTTTTGTTTGGTGGGCTGGAACCAGCCAGTTTCCTCCTTGGCATTGCTGAGAAAACATCCTGGGACGAGGCCTGAGCCTTCATCCTAGCCCAGTGGTTCTCAACCTTCCTAATGCTGCGACCTTTTCATACAGTTCCTCATGTGGTGGTGACCCACCCCCCAACAATAGAATTATTTTTGTTGCTACTTCATCCCTGTAATTTTGCTACTGTAATAAATCATCATGTAAATATCTGATAGGCAGGATGTATTTTCATGGTTACAAATGGAACATCATTAAAGCATAGTGATGAATTACAAAAACAATATGTCAGTATATATTGTGAAATATTGATTCCTTATGACAAATCAATGAAATTTTGTCGTGAAGCATAGTGTAGCCTGGGTAACAGTCTTCCCACCCGGTACTTGTAGGTGGGCATATCTGCATGTGGGCGGACCCGTCTGGAGACAGATAGAGGAGTGGGGTCTCGGTTCTTAAGACCATCGGAAATATGTGTCCTTGATGTCCAGAGCTAGAAGCAGTCAGTAGTTATAGTGACAGTAACTCCAGTTGTGTGTTTCTTTTTCTCCTTTATATTCAAATACTAAAGTATCTTTTTTTTTTTCCAAGAGCACTTTATTATAACATTGAGAGAAGACAGACCAAGTATTATTAGCCTCAGGACTCTGGGGTGGTGGTGATTAATATGATACAATAAATGCATGAATTGAATGAGACAAAATTGTCACCAGTCCCCAGCTCCCAACTGTCCAACAGATGATGGAAAAATTCCCCACATTTCATGGGAAATAGCATGGGGTCCAGGACCAGAAGAGCTGCTGGGAGGTGGTGGGCGGAGGGGGACGGGGTGAGGGGGGTGGGGAGAGGGCTGATGACACTGTTGCAAAGACCCACTACTCTGCTCTTTGGCGGAATGCAACCCCACCTCCCCCAGGCTCCCCAGGAATGCACTTCTCCCTGGTCCTGGTCCAATCTGCCAAGCCTGTGTGGTTGTGTCACTCCTCCCTGCACACCCCTCCCATCTCTCCTTAGCAGCTCCCTCTGTGGGTTCAGAGACATCCCAGCCCAGGCAGCCAGACTCTAGGATGTCCTGGGGGCCACTGTGAAGCTCAGAAAATGAAGGTGCAGAGTCAGCCTGGAGGATGGGCGAGCGGGAGGCCCCTCCTCCAGTTCAACCCCCCCTGGGGCAGACAGGGGGGGCAGGCAATCTGCTCACAACTCGGATGGGATGTAGGGCTGCCTACAGATGAAAAGAAACTGGATGTCACAAGAGCCATCGTTCCAGGCCTGAAGGGAGGCCCTCTTCAAATAGGCACAGTGCTCGTTGTTCCCAGCGTTGTTGGGCTCGCCTGGAATCCAGAACCTACCAAGTGGGAAATCAGAGGAAAACTTATTTACAAAATAGAAACAACACCCCACTACCACCACCAAATGTATTTCCAACTAAGAGAGTTACTTCCGTCCCAGCTTTGGTCCTAAGGAATAGCGTTGGAAATTTTTACACCCAAGCCTACAGGATGGCTTCTGTCTCTAAACCTTAAGGAAACCACCAGATGAGGGCCAAGCCAGGACACCTGTTCGCATGCTCCTACACAGGCACACACCGCAAGGAGCTCGTCTCGGAAGGGGATCCTGGCAAAGCTGTGGACAAGGACATGCCATCTCACTGAAGATGCTCCCAGAGGCCCCAGCGTTGTCCCAACTCTTCCAGCCGGTTAGTGGCAGACGTGAGCTAGAACTCCAACCCCACGCTTCTGCCACCCTTGCCCAGGGAAGACTCATAAGCCCCAGGGGTCCCTGCCTTGGCCTGGGACAGTGGCTGGGAAGGAGGCTGGGGCTTACCTTGCACTTTGGGCCTTACTGAATGGAGTGCCATCTGCCCACACCCAGTCCCGATCACTGCCAGTCTTGGTTAGGCCGATCCAGTAGACGCGTTCTCCCGCTGTCTTGTATAGAAACTCCTGTAGGGAGCATAGAAAGAACGGAGGTCCCACTGGGCCCTACCTCCGAGGACCCCGAATCCACACAGACTGCCGTGGTCACCGGCCTCGCTCAAGCTGCTTCCTGTCCAGAACACAGCTTCCATAATCGCATTATGCAATTCCCTGAAATGGGCCGATTCGGGTCTCGCGAAAGAGCTTCCAGAGCTCAAGACTGGCTCCGTTAAACACTGGTGCAAGGACCCTAAGAGGATGGCTGATTCTGCCACTCGTGACACTTTAGAAATTATTCTAGTGCCATAAAGATATTTTTACAAACAAACAAAACCGCCATGATCTGACTAATAATATCCTTTAACTCTTTTTGATTTTACTTCAGAGCCACATGGACGTACCAGACAAGAGCCGCAGTGGCTCCTGAGTCAGGGTGGGCCGACCCCGGTCTAGGGAATAATAGCTCTCTTTTTTTTCAGTGACTGACATCCCCTAGGGACTATGCTAGCCCTGGCAGCGTAGTGTGTAAGCGCCTGGCTGCTTTCTGGAAGGTACGCGGTTCAACTCCACCAGGAGCACCACAGAGAAAGCTCACAGCATTGCCCACCCTGCAGAGAGATCCCCCCTCTGTCCTGCAAGGTTGCTATGAGTCTAAATCAACTTGGCACCAACGGGCTTTGCAGGCAGGATGCTAGCCCTGGTGCGCCAGGCACTGGGCTGCTAACCCTAAGTTAGTCAGCAGTTTAAACCCACCAGCCACACCACGAGAAAGAGATGAGGCTCTGCTGAGGCTCTCTGCTCCTGTCAAGACTTACAAAGCCCAGAAATCCTATATCGGGTCACTACGAGTTGGAATCCACTCTGCGGCAGTGGGTTTGGGTTTGGTGTGCAGACACTATTGTCCTGCGTGTTTCATCAATAAGCAGCCTGAGGCCTCGTGAGGGCCAATAATGTACCAAGGCAGAAGGACAAGCTAGGTGGCAACACGGGGACCCTGGACTCTGACTGGCTCCGGAGCCCAGGCTCATCTGCCTGATGAAAGGGCCTCCTTGCTCAACACAGGGCCTCACCTGGCAGGAGGTTTCCAGGAAGCCTGCTCACACACCTTTCCTTCCTGGCTGTGCCTCCCTGCCCTCTTGGAATGGAGAAGGGCTGTGCGGCTTGCTCGGGACAGTGAAATGTGAGACCAAGCCATGGGCGCTGTTCCCTGGCTGAAGAGCCTGCGTGCAAGCGGCCTTGGCAAGTGTGGACACATCAGGTGCCACCAGGTCTTGGAGTCACCACAGTGGATGGTCAGCTCTGGCTGGCCCTCCCCGGGCAAGCAGCATCACTGAGAAATTCTGTTGGTTTATGATTGCTCTCTGGGGATGGTTGTTACGTAGCGTGATCTTGCCCAGCCTGCCTGCTGCAGGCCACACGCTGTGGACACCCTCCCTTACCAGAGCCCAGGGGAACAGCACTCACCTGTTCCTGCTCGGAAGTCACTGAAGTCAGGTGGGAATCCCTGGACAGACAGTACTGCTGGGCACTGTACCAGGTTTTGGGGGTGTAAGAAAAGTAGTAGTAGCTCCCATTGAAGTACTTCCAGTCTTGAGAGACCATCTGTAGAATGTCCCCTAGAGGGCAGACAAGAACTGGAGGTGAATGCTGCTCGGCCCGTTTCTCTGGAGGCTGGTTTGATCGGGGTATGTGAGTGAGATGCAGGCAGAGGGATGGATCGGGCTGGGTTCTGAGATCTCAGGTCCTCGTGTAGGGGTTTGGGGACCCTCTGAGATTTGGAAAGCCTAGCTGAGCCTAAGAGAGTCTCTGGGCTAGAGAGGGATGAGTGAGAGAAGAGAGATGGAGGCCTCTACCACGTGAGGAAAGCAATTCTCCACCGGCCATCACAAGGCTTAGAAACATATTGGGAAACGATCGGGCTTAGGATAGAATGGAGACACCCCAATGCTTTCACAGTCTGCATCTTGGTGTGGGTGCTCCTGTCGGGCCCGGGTCCCTCCTCTCCTGGGCAGCCAGCCCCTTGAGTCCTTCCCACCCCATGCAGAACCAGCCTGCCCCTGCCTGGCTCCTCCCTCTTTGCCTCCTCATGCACAGGCCCACTGTCCCCATGTCTGAGATGGACCAGGTCCCAAGGACACTGCTTAGACCCTGGTCAACACTTACTTTGTTGTCTGAGCAATTGGTCCAGCCTTTCCAGACTGCTCTGAAGTCCCTGAATCTTGGCCTTGAAAACGCCGGCGTTATCCAAATCTCTTTTTAACTCTGGGATTTGGGCATTGAGCGCGCTGACGTCCTGCCAGCTTCTTGTTAACATCTGGATCCGTGCGTCGGCCCGCTGCAGACCCGTCTCCAGCGCCAGGAACTGAGAGCGCACGTGTTGCAGGCTGACGTTCACCCTCTGGATCTGAACGCTGGCAGCCTTCAGGCCACCGCGGTTCTTCTGAATGTCAAGTCCTTCGGTGCTGATGTTGTCCACACGCCCCGTCAGCAGCTCACCACTGGTCTTGATGTCGGACAGTGTGCCCAAAAGCCAGGCATCTGAATTTGAGACATCAAGAGGTCATCGGAGGAGATCCCTGGGAGCAGGGTCCTCAAAGGAAGAGATGTGCTCACTTGTCTCCTGGAACCAAGCCCGCCCACACAGTGGCCTCCTACACACAGCCGTCCCACAAATGGACAAGGGGCGTCCACCACGTGCCGAGAGCGCTGATGAGTGCGGACGATGCAGACATTGATCCGACAGAAGCTCTGTGCTAGAGGAACTCGCAGGCCAGCAGAAGCAGGGATTTGAGCCCAGTCCTGGGTTTCCATGTCCTGAGCAGACAGGGGCGCCCTCAGAAAGGAACAGCCTCAATCACACTCTCCTCACGCTCCTCACGGCTCTCTGCCCCATCACTGGATTCCCCGGCCATCCGTCCCCTTTCAGAGACCTCTGCCTTGGCCGTCAGCCAGGCACTCCTCTGAGTCAGCCCACAGGGCCCTCCCTGGACCCACCATGCAGCCTCCTGGTCTAGAAGCGACTGCTTCTGTGGAGAAGATGGAAATCGAGCGTGGGGAAACCATGCCTCCTCTTGCTCTCGCCTTTGCTTTTGCCCCAGTAACTGGGGTGCCAGGATGGGGTGCCTTTGCGGCACAAAGAAACCAAGAAGGTAGGAGGGGAGTTGGAATGGGGGGGAGAGGAGTTGATGCCCAGGGATCAAATAGAGAAAAAATGTTTTGGAAATGTTGATGGCAACAAATGTACAAGTGGGCTTAATACAACTGAAGGATGGATTGTTAGAAGATTTGGAAGAGCTCCCCCCACCAATAAAATGACAAATAAAAATAAAATAAATGTAAAAGCCAAGAAGGCTCAAAGGAGTGCCCTCTGGAAAAGGCAAGTTAGAGACCAGGGGTCTTGTGGGGCAAATGGCGGGAGGAGGCTTTGCTCGCAGCTACAAGTCTGAGCCCACGGTGCCCTAGGCCATGAAGAGAAAGGACACCAATTCTCTCCCTCCGTTTGGCAGAGCAGCAGGAGGGAGCCAGCGCAGCCAGGGACAACCCAGAACCAAAGCAAACTCGCTGTTGTCGAGTGGATGCCGACTCCCAGTGACCTTACAGGACAGGGGAGAGGACAGGTTTCCAAGACTGTAACTGTCTACTGGAGTAGAAAGTTCTGTTTGCTCCCGGGAGCGGCTGGCGGCTTCAAACTGCTGACTGTGTGGATGGCATCCCAATGCCTAAGCTCTATGCTGCCAGCTACACGGGGCATAAAACTTTGCCAAACCAGATGAGGGCAAAAAGGTCATCACAGAGCCAGCGAATGAGTAGGAAGATTCCCATGAGGTGAGCCTCACAGAGACGGGGGATTTGTGAGCTTGTTGGGCCTGAGGACACCCTTGGGCCTCAGTCCCTTACAGGGCCAGGCAACATTTTACTTGCTGCCCAGGCGGCTCCCAGGTTCTGAATCAAAGGATGC